TTATTGTTCATGGCTGACACTCTACCACTTGAACCACACCTCCTCTTGAAGATAAGAGTCTCAGATTTGGCTGCCTTGAGCTGACTTCAACCCTCAATCCTCTGATCTCAGCCTCCTGAGTAGCTAGGATTTTCAGGCATGAGCCACCAGTACTTGGCTTATGTGGATATTTTTTAGAGTTAAATTTTAGTTAAATAATGTTTTGATTGGGGCTGGGAAGGTGGCTCAGTGGTAGAGCGCTTGCCTTGCATGCATGAGGCCCTGGGTTCGATTCCTCAGCACCACATAAACAAAAAGAAAAAAGCCGTAAGTGGCGCTGTGGCTCAAGTGGTAGAGCGCTCGCCTTGAGCTGAAGAACTGAGGGACAGTGCCCAGGCCCAGAGTTTAAGCCCCATGACCTACCAAAAATAAAAATAAAAAATAAAAAGATCACAGGTGATTTTATCCTCTGGGCTCTGTTTAAGACTTCTAAATTGCCTTTGTAAATAAGTGTTATGTGCACACAAGAGAAATGGCCCTACACTCTCCTTGAGGTGTCTAGTTAGGGAACCAGAGACCTCACTGTAACCAACACATTCACCCAAGACTTCTTCCCCAGGCTTCTCTCTCCTACTTTTTCCTCACAAATCCACTCCCAAGCCAAAATAACCAGCCACAGAATTCACCATCATCCATGAGATTGCCTCTATTCCAAATACAGGTGATCTCTGCTTCCACGGGAGGCAGATAAGCCCACTTCCAGACTACAGGAATGTGTTTAGAAAGTTTCCTTTCATGGTAGTCTTTTTTTTTTCCTGTGCCAGTATTTGGACTTAAACTCAGAGCCTGAGCACCGTCCCTCAGCTTCCCCAACCTTTCAAGGCTGGTGCTCTTCCACTTGAACCACACCTCTACTTCCAGCTTTTTTGGTGGTTCGTTAATAAGCACTTAGAGATTAAGATTTTAAAAAAGACTCAAGGATTTTCCTACACCAGCTGGCTTTGAAACGTGAGTCTCAAATCTCAGCCTCTATAGCTAGAATTACTGTAAATCTGGCTTTCAAATGCTTTGACAATATTGGCTTTCTAAGTTTTAATAGTTCTTTTATTCTGTAAACAGAACAAAACAAAATCCATCTTGGGTGTATTACAGTTGTATACAGTTACATTTCTCTGCTTCATGGTGAAGCCAAACTACTCTGCTATGTTGATCAGCCATTTCTGTTTCTTGGATGTGTATGCATATTCATTGCTCAAAATGTATAGAAGAGTCAGGTGGCAGAAACTGTAATTCAATCTACCCAGGAGGCTGACATCTGAAGGCTGCAGTTCAAAGCCAGTCAGCAGAAAAGTTTGTGAGACTCATCTCTAACCACCAAAAAGCTGGAAATGGAGCTGTGGTTCAATTATAGAGCAGTAGCCTTAAGCAAAAATGCTCAGGGACAGTGTCCAGGCCCTGAGTTCAAGCCCTAGGACAACAAAATAATAAATAAGCAAATTAGTTAATTAATTAATGGAAGGGCTAGGGCGTTGCCTGGCACACACAACTTCAGCACTACAATAATAATTAATAACAATAATAATCATAAAATAGGTAGATTTTTTCCTCGGTTGAAATCATTTCTATTTTAGGAGTATATTAGCTTTTAGCTGTGTGCTAGTGGCTCACATCTATAATCTTAGCTAAGATCTGAGTATAGTGATTCAAAGCCAGCCTGAGCTGGCTATAAGACTGTAAGACTATAAGACTCTTGTATCCAACTAACCAGCAAAAAGCTGGAAGTGAAGGTGTGGTGCACGTGGTAGAGTACCAGTTTTGAGCAAAAATGCCAACCAAGGGAAGAAGGCCCTGAGCTTCAATCCTGGTACTAGCACCACATTTAAAAAAGAGAAGAAGTACGTATGTCCTGTATTTGTAACAAATGTCTCTCTCAATGTATCTGCTGTTAAACTTGAGTCACACATTTACCCAGGAGCACATCCTTCCATCCCCCCACCCATTCTCTGTCATCCTAAATTCAATGCTCATTTCCCAGTGATAAGAGTTTTAGTGCCAACAGTGAGCCAGAAAAAAAAAGATCCATTGAGAACTACTGCTATGATTCGGTGTGGAAGTAAGCTGCTTTGTGGACATTTCTAAGAAAGGAGGAGTGCAAATTCTCCCATTCCTTCTCAGGCCTAGTGTCCTAGGCCGTTTTCATTCACAAGCACAATGGCTAACCTGCTTCCTCCTGCAAGCCACGCCCCCTGGGAGAGGACCGCCCACACGTGTGGATTCCTCATTCCACTTTGCCTTACCCACTTGCTAGACCTCTCCCCTCCTTCGTTCAGGTGCCTATTTTTCTGTTACTAGCTCTTCTCTCACTCTAATAGCACAAAGCTAAACCCCACTCCCCCTCTACTTACTTGTTCTACACATACTATTCCTTGCTGTGTAGGACCGGTGCCAGCCATGTTTCTATAGTCACGTAGTTGTAACCAAATCCTTGTGTGCATCTCCAAGCCATCCTGACACACAATGATGGCTTGATGATAGTGGCTAGACAAGAAGAGATTTTTTTTTTCCTTCTCAATATTTGGGCTCACCTGGTACTGTTGCCACACTCCTGTAATCCTAGCTATTCAGGAGGCTGAGATCTGAGGATTGTGATTAAGTCAGCCCAGGCAGGAAAGTCTGTGAGACGCTGATCTCCAATTAACTACCAATAAAAGCAGGACGTGGATATGTGGTTCAAGTGCCAGCCTTGAGCATAAAAGCTAAGGGACAACACCCACTCCCTGGGTTCAAGTCTCAGTACCAGTACAAAAAACAAAATGAAAGAACAAGTCACAAGACCCTGTAGGTTTTCACTCAGGTAATGGGCTCCAGCCTGCTTCCTATCTGAAATATTGCTTCACCTCTAATAATGATTTAATGAACAGCCCAGATTACTGAATGTTTCCCTTTTTACAAAAATCATATTGTTATTATAAATGTCAGGGAACCAAATGCTTTCTTAATGGGTTGAGCATATTTTCAAACCATAGGATGTGTATTTGATTTAACACGTACCACAGTGGACTTCTTTTTCTCCACTTCCCCATTCTCTAGCATCATCCCTGCATGACAGCTTCATTAATACTCATCAAATGCAACAGTGCATTCGATCACTCATTCAAAGATTTTTGTTAGGTGGCCTATAGTTTATCATGTGTACTTTGTGAAGGATAAAGGTGTGAGTAAAGTAGAATTTGCAACCAGCCCACCCACAAGCCAAGACAAAATTGTCTTCATGAATACTGGTGAAAGGAACTTTGAGGGCAGGCTTGTGCTAAAGCTCTTGAGTTGGAACAATTAGCTTGGGTTATTGGGAGCCAAGAGTGCCCATCACAAGGTGTCCCCAGGGGTTGGCAGAGGGACAGTCAAGCAACAGTTTAGAACCCATGACAGGACAGCTCCCTCTACTGGCAGAAGGAGTGACAGGCTCTCACCCCAACCCACTTAGCTTGTAACAATTTGTAAAGCTGCAGTAGGAGATTATAGGAATATATAGAAATGGGAACACACACATTCCTAGAGTGCTTCAGCCATGGTTGATTGCTCCCAGTACTGTACAACAATGTGCTTGATTTAAATTCAGGCCTTTGGATACCCTGTCCAGTGCCAATGCCCTCTCAATCAGTTATTCAATAGCCGGATAACTAGATCTTCCTCTTTCATCTTTCTCCCAGAATAGGAAAAAGGAAAGATATAGATAGACAGATAGATTAGATTAGATAGAGTAAGAAATGGATATCTCTAAGATATATATCTTATCTATTTCTCTTTGTATGTACACATCTTTCTCTACATATATTATTTTCTATTCCTTCTATGTATAAATATCTTTCTTCTCTCTCTCGGCCTCTTTTTCTATTATAGAAACACTAGAGTTTCCATCATTTCAATGATAGGAACTTTGAAATCAATATAATAGGCTTCTTTGAGGATGGGGCACCTGAGATACGCTATAAGAAAGAAAAGATGGAGCCAGCAGGTGGAGGCCTTACATGGAATCAAAGCAAGCGCAGGCCAGCTCCTACAGGGTGGCTTTTCATCATCCTACAGTTGATACAATACTGTGGATATTCTTAAACCATCAGGAAGTTTGAAAGCAAAGGGTGACAGAGGCTTCTTTGTATTTTACCCATTTGGGCTCTTGGGTAAACCATGCTTTCCTGTGGGAGATAGAGGGGCAGCGATGATGTCAGACTTTTCCATAGTAAGATGAGAGTTTGGGTGACTTAAAATTGTCCAGTATCAATAAACGGTGCAGCAGTTTTTGGCTCAGAAACTGTGCATGGAACATAATGTCAATAGGAGTTGCTGGGCACTAGTGGCTCATGCCTGTCATCCTAGCTACTCAGGAGGCTGAGATCTGAGGATTGCAGTTTGAAGCCAGCCTGGGCAGGAAAGTCCATGAGACATTTAAACTATTTTTTAAAACTATTACACTGTTAAACTTTTTTTTAAGTGAGAAGTGGTATTATGGCTCAAGTGGTAGAGTGGTAGCCTTGAACAAAAGAAGCTCAGGGGCAGAGTCTAGCCCCTGAGTTCAAGCACTAAGACCAGCACAAAAAAAGGAAAACAAAAACTTGCTGAGATAGGTTTAAGGGAAAATAGAACAATCCAAGATGGAGCTAGAGACTCCAGCTTAAGCAGTTCAGTATTTGCAGTGGACTCTCCAAGATAGGAAGATTGAATAAGCAAGGGAGGGAACATTGCACATGAGGTGCAGGATAATGTAAGCAGCTGGGTCTGAGCATCTGAAAATACTACGTGATGGCAATGAATAAGCACATGCTTTCATTAAATTCAAAGCAATCCGGATGCTGGTGGCTCACAGCTATAATTCTAGCTTCTCAAGAGGCTGAGATTTGAAGCTCTCAGTTCAAAACCAGCCTGGGCAGGAAAGTCCATGAAACTCTTAGCTCTCATTAACAAAAAGCCAGAATTCAAGTGGTATCATGCCAGCCTTGAGCAAAAAAGCCAAGAGAGATCTAAAGCAACTGAATTCAAGCCCCAGGACTGGCACAAAAAAAGAGTAATTATGCACATATACACACACATATATGTATGTCTATACATATATATATACATGCATAGATACACATGTGCATCTATGTATGTACCATACATATGTGCATACACCTGTGTGTTATACATGTGTACCTACCTATACATATATATGTATGTGTGCATGTATGTAGGCACATATATAAATAATGTTGTGTATGCATATGTATAGAAATATAAATAACTATATGTGTATATGCATACACACAATATATATATAAAATATATGTATGTGTATGCATTTGATTTTCCTCCTACTCAATCTTAAGACAAGTAATTTGATGCTTTAATTTAAAATTCAAACATGCAGAACTTTAAAAGCTATGCACATTCATGTGTGCATAATTTTTATGCAGATTTGCAATTATGACCACTGAATTTCCAATGAATTTGTCATATATAAAAGATTTTAGAAATGATCTTCCTAGCCGGGCGCTGGTGGCTCACGCCTGTAATCCTAGCTACTCAGGAGGCTGAGATCTGAGGATCGCGGTTCAAAGCCAGCCCAGGCAGGAAAGACTGTGAGACTCCTATCTCCAATAAACCACCAGAAAATCGGAAGTGGCGCTATAGCTCAAGTGGTAGAGCGCTTGCCTTGCTGAAGAGCTGAGGGACAGCGCCCAGGCCCAGAGTTCAAGCCCCACGACCGACAAAAAAAAAAAAAAAGAAATGATCTTCCTGTAATCAAAATCTAGTGATATACTTCATATTAAGCCTTTTTTCTCTTTTCTTTCTACCTTTCTCTTTCTTTCTTTCCTTCTTTTCTTCCCTCCTTCCTTCCTTCATTCCTTCCATCCTTGTGCCATTACTGGGTCTTGAACTCAGGGCCTGAGTGCTGCCCTGTCTCTAGCACTTGAGCCACAGCTCCACTTCCAGCTTTTTGCCAGTATATTGTGGAAAAGAGTCGGCTGGACATTTCCTGCCTGGGCTGGCTTTGAACTGCAATCCTCAGATCTCAACCTCCTGTATAGCTAGGATTACAGCTGTGAGTCACCTAGTGACCAGCTTTGTTCTTTCTTAAAGTTTGAAAGAAACTTAAAAAAATATTTTTTAGGCTTTGGAAATGTATGCATGGGGTAAATTTCCTGTCCACCCTGTCTCCTCCCTGCTCCCTGCCTGCCCCTGACAGATGGTGAGAGAACAGTATCTGACAGCCACAGAGGGCACCCTCATAGAGAGGCCGGAGAACCAGTGCATCTACAACATCGGCATTTATGGCTGGAGAAAGCGCTTCCTCTACCTCTTCGTTCTTCTCCTACTCATCATCTTCATTGTGAATTTTGCCCTTACAATTTGGATCCTTAAAGTGATGTGGTTCTCTCCAGTAAGTATGATTTTTTTTTCCTCCTCTTGGTCTGCTCTCAGTCACCACATCTGCATGACAGTAATAGATTTCTTTTCTTTTCTTTTGGTGCCTCATCCTAGGCCTTGAACTCAGGACCTGGGTGTTGTCCCGATGCTGTATTGTTCAAGACTAATGCTCTCCCACTTGAGCCACAGCTCCACTTCTCGCTTTCTTTTTTCTTTGTTTTGGTAATGGAAGATAAGAGTCTCATAGACTATTCTGCCTGGGTTAACTTCAAACTGTGACCCTCAAATCTCAGCTTCCTGAATAGCTAGGATTACAGGCATGAGCCACTAGCACCTGGCTGGATGTTTATTTTAATGTACTAACTCATTATCTTCCTGACTCTGCTTCCTGAATGCTAGGATTAGAGGCATGTGCCACCACAGTTGGCCTACAATCAAGAATTTTGTGGGGTGAGGGAAGACAGGGGCTTGAACTCAGAGTCTGGGTGTTCTTTCTTAGCTTTTTCACTCAAGGCTGCCAGTTGAGACACAACCTCATTCCTGGCTTTTTTTCTGGGTAATTGGAGTCAAGAATCTCTCAAATTTATCTGCTAAGACTGGCTCTGAACCACCATCTCCAGATCTCAGCCTCCTGAGTATCTAGGATTACAGGGGTGAGCCACCAGCACCAGCAGAATGGGAGTTTTTCTAACATTCACCATTAAATAATCGTATGACACAGCAATACCATTTCTGGGTATTTATTCCAAAGAATGGAAATCTTTTTTTGCTGTTGTTATTGTTTATGTATGTGTAGGTCCCTCCTTGAAATACATGTATACCAAGGAATTACTGTAACCATAATGGAAATCTCTGCAGAGATTTGATTATGGAATGGTACAATTAAGTATTTCATTGGACATCTGCAGAGAATGATAACATTTTGATCATGGACCAAATAGCATGTAATTGTATACCTAGATTCTACATAACAGACACATGGTGAGGCATTGGGAAGGCTCTAGGGAAAACCCATACATTTCCAAATTAGCCGAGTCTAACATGACTTTCTCTGCTTTGAACCCCAGCAGTATAGAAATGACACGCTAATTATTTAACTTCCTCTTCTTAATTTCATCATGCTTGAATATTTCCTTGTAGAAAATAATAAAGCTAACCATGAATGTTATTCAACAAAATCAAAGGTGAGCCACAGATGCCAGGCTGGCCTTGCACATTTTTTAATTTGTTTGTGGTTTTTGTTGTTTTTGTACCAGTTCTGGGGCTTGAAGTCAGAGCCTGGATGTTGTCCTTTAGCTTCTTTGCTCAAGGCTGGCACTCTATACCACTTGTGCAAAGGAGTTGCCATTCGGCAAAGCAGTTTATGACGATAGTGCATCTTGATCAATGTTCCCCTTTTCAACATACTCATCCGTCTCACCGAACCCACCCCTTCCCTCCCTTTCCTTAATTTTTAGGTTAATGTATTGAATGTTTGCCATTTCACAAAGCTTTTATGTATGCATACAATGCATCTAGTTCTGCATCACCCCTTCCACATTTCACCCACCTTCCACCTATACCTTCCCTTGTTTTTCTCAATTCGGTGGTATAGATAATGAATTCTCATCTGCATTCTTCCCTCTTCTCCCCTTCATCATTCTGCCCCTCTCCCCTTGGCCCTACCCTCTCTCTTGCAAGTGCCATTTCCTGGTACTTATCTTGTTGGGCTTTGACTTAGTCTTTCTAAGGAATTATACTATTTGAGCTCATTCATTGTGACCACTTGCACACCATCTGGTGTTTCTACTTATAGATTTATAGGCATATTCCAGCTACCACAAATGAGGGAAACCTCTGTTTCTTTGGGTCTGGCTTACTTCACTTAATATAATTTTTTCCAAGCCTTTCCATTTCCTTTTGAAGGGTAAAATATCACTCATCCTGAAGCATCTCTAATTTTTAATGAGAGAATTTTTTGGAAAACTTTTACTGTTACTGATATTTGCTTACACATAAAGTTCTCTAGTACAGTTAATGGCTGTAACTTTAGCAAGTTAGGACTAATGGTTCTAAACTACCACTGTTGACCTTGAAATTTTAATTTGAGGAACACTTTTATTTGGGAAAAATGAATAGAAAGAACAAAGCAGAATTATAATAATATTACTGAATATTATAATTAGGTGTGTAATTCTATTAAATACTTTGGTGGGGAGGAGAATCTTATTGTCATTTAATATAGTAATAAAATAAAATAGCTATAGATACCATTGCCCCCTGAGAAGGTCAAAAACACCAGGTTCAGCTGGCGGCTCACACCTGAAATCCTAGCTACTCAGGTGGATGAAATCTGAAGATCAAGATTTGAAGCCAGCCTAGGCAGGAAAGTCTGTGAGCCTTTTATCTTCAATTAACCACCAAAAAGCTGGAAGTGGCTCAAGTGGTAGAGCACAAGCCTTGAGCAAAAAAGCTAAAGAACAGTGCCCAGACTTGGACTTCAAGCCTCAGGACTGGCACCAAAAACAAAAACAAAAACTCCAAGCTAATTTATCCTCCAAAACAAGCTGAATTATTTCTGGTTTGGTTTTGTTTTTCTTTTGGTTTGGTTTTTTTTTTTTTTTGCACAAAGTAACAGTTAAATATGTTCCATAGAGAACTGTCCCCTTAAGAATCTTGTTCTGATGAGAAAGTGAAACCTTAGCAGACAGTGTCTGCAGACTTTTCCTTGGATAAATGTTTTGTCATTAAGTACTTGGTGATCATTCATGTGTAGCTGGAGAAAATGGTATGAGATGGCATCTCAATGACTTTTTTCCCACCCTCTGATTAAATAATCTTTTGATGTGGATTTGAAAACCTCAACCAGAAAAAATAAAAAAGAAAGAAAGAAAGAAAACAGATATGCAAGTACTGCAGACTCTCTGACGGATGTACCCCAGTCATGGAAGGCCATTGCGGTATCTTCTTTATAGTGACGCTTGCTAAAATCTCCCTTAATCCTTTATGAACTCTCAAATCTGGAGGAAAATAATGTTTAAACTCTGTATGAAAACTGGAATATAAAACCAAATGTGTTGGGGGCACACTTGTAATCCCACCACTGGGGAGAATGAGGGAGGATCATGAGGCCCAAGCCAGCCTGGGCTGCTATGATTGGGGGCAACCAGAAAAGCCGGGAGAGGGGAGGATAGAGGAAGGAAGGGAGGAGAGAAAAGGGGAGGGAGAGGAAAAGAGAAGAAAGGAGAAAGGAAGGAGAAAGAAGAAGGAAGGAAGAGAGGGAGGGAAGGAAAAGAAGTACAAATACAATATTGCATATTGACCATTATAATCTAGACCATTTATAAACACAATTTAATGATAATCCTTTAAATTGCCTTTATAATGCTAAACAGTCTTGCTTTTAAATATCTTGACTTTCTTTTTAAAACTCTGCCTAGTTTAGGTCAGTGGCAGGCAGAATTCTAAGCTCCACCCACTGGGGGGTTATATCTTAAAGCCTTGCTTTCTGACAACAGAAGCTGAAAGGGATAGGAAGTTCTCCTCCAATTAAGTTACAATTACATCATGAAGAAGTTTTGCACATGTAAATACAACCGACCAGGGGTTCCAGAAGATAATACTGGCTGGACAATGGATTATATTCAGGGAAAGAAAGACCTTAAAATAGAGATTCAGCTAAGCTATGCTGAGAGAAGCCTTATTTACTGAAATAAGAAATGTGCCCTGTTTAAGTTGTTTTATTTTGCTCATTTGGTGCCCACTATAGAAAAAAAATTCAAGATTAGCACGTTTGCAAAGAAATGTTTAATTCTTCTTCTCATAGATACTGCCAACACAAACAACAACAATATTATTTTTTTAAAAAAGAACAAATGGAGGGACAAAAGGTGAACAAATGCAGCAGTGGTACTCACTAGACACTATGTTGAAAACAAATTATCCTATTTGTGGGTGAGGACGGAGAGAAAAAGTGGGAGAGAGTGAGGGAAAGGGTAACCTTGTCCAAAAAGAAATGTACTCTTTATCTGACTTATGTAACTGTAACCCCTTTGTACATCACCTTTATAGTAATAATAAAAAAATAAAAAGAGTAAATACCCTCAAGGAAATCTTTTTAAAAAAATTGTAAAAAATATCTAAATGAGTTTACCTAGAAATCTATATTTTTGATGATCTATTAGTAGGGAAATATTTGAAGTGTTGATCTTTAGATTTTTGGATGCTGGTAGGTTTGAAATAATTGGGGAAAGAGCAAGAAACTGACAGTATTTTAGTCTGATATGATGGTGTGTATTTCAACCGCTGGCTAGCTGGGTAAGACTCAAGGATTTATTATTATTAATTATTATTATTATTATTGCTAGTCCAGGGGCTTGAACTCAGGGCTTAGGTACTGTTCCTGAGATTCTTTTGCTCAAGGATAGCACTCTACCACTTCAGCCACAGCACCACTTCCAGCTTTTTCTGTGTATGTGGTGCTCATGCATGCAAAGCAAGCACTCTACCACTGAGCCACATTCCCAGCCCATCATGGAATCTTTAAGGTCACAGAGAAATGTGAGTTTCAGCTGATGTTCTAATTCAGGGTCATCTATAGTTTAAACTCTAGCCAAGAAACAGCAGCGTAACTCCTGTGCATGATCTAATTTCTTCGGCTGTGCCAGTAGCAATGTTTTGGACAGTTGAGGCCATCTGAGCTGAGGCATCTTGGCCCTGCCCAGAGAGAGGGGAAGGAAGAGAAAAGGAGTTTTGAAGAGCTCATATAGTTAGCAACTTCATCACACACATAGCAATGGCAGACTTACTAGCAGGTGGATTGGACAGGATTACGCTATATAAGATTAGTTAATAAAAAGGAAGGGTGGTGTGTAAAGTGCTTTAATTATATTCCTCTATGTCAGTCCTGGCTGTGTGCTGAACATGAGACAATCAAACTTAGCACAATCCTTCCTATGAAAATACATGCTAGAATGTTGAGTATTATAAATCTCAGTTTTGTATGACAAAGTAGGACTTTTAATTCTCTTTTACTTAAAAAGTATCCTACATCTGTAATTATATGAAAAATAGAAATAGGCTGCCTACCATATTTTTAGTGAATTCAACAGTAGCTTTTTGGGGGGGGGGCGGTGTGGGGCAAAGGGCAGTGCTGGGACTTGAATTCAAGGTCTTAGGGGCTGGGAAGGTGGCTCAGTGGTAGAGTGCTTGCCTTGCATGCATGAAGCCCTGGGTTTGATTCCTCAGCACCACATAAGCAGAAAAAGCCAGAAGTGGCGCTGTGGCTTAAGTGGTAGAGCGCTAGCCTTGAGCTGAAGAGCTGAGAGACAGTGCCCAGGCCCAGAGTTCAGGCCCCATGACCGGCAAACACACACACACACACACACACACACACACACACACACAAACCCTCAAGGTCTTAGCCCTGTGCCATAGTTTTTTCCACACAAAGCTGGTACTCTACCGCTTGAGCATCTTCTAGCTTTTTAGTGATTAATTAGAGATAAGAGTCTCAGGGAGTTTCCTACCAGAACTGGTTTGAATCTTGATCCTCAGATCTCCGCCTCCGGAGTAGCTGGGATTACAGGTGTGAGCCACCAGCTCCTGGTTAATTTGCATATTTCAAGATACTTTTGTTCATCACCTGGTTAGCCTCCCTTCATCCTTGAGAGCCAACACCAGTGGAAGCCTCTGCCTCCTGTGGCAGTGGTTATCTTCCATTGAAGACTGCTACCTAATAGCATTGATTAGAAAAGACACATGATCGACACACCTACCTCGCAAAGCAATAATGTAGGGAGGGAAGGTCACCGGATACAATCTGGCAGAAACTGAGAAGCAGATTCTGATTTCTTCCTTGACTCCGTTAGCAATATTTTGCCATTGGTCTGATGAATGGGTATGTACTGAAGGTGAGAACCACCTGATCCCCCCTTCTCTGCCCCTCCCCTCCCCCTGCCCTCCCATTCTCTTCAACCAATGCCAGTGCCAAAGCCCAGATTCTGTCAGTGTTCACATCTGACATGTGCACCTTATACTTCCACCTCTCCTTGCCATTCACTTCTCAAACACATAGAAGCTATGATTATAAGAAAAAATATGACACCATGGCATCGTTAACCAGTATCTTGGCACTTTTTCCAAATTATTTATGTCTTTCTAAAAGGTATTACATTCTATCAGTGCTCACCTGTCTAAAACTCAAATTGAAATCTTTGATTTATATGTGACTCAGAATGGGATAGAAAATGAGGTCATAGACAATAGAATCATGAAGTGGCTTATTGCACCGTCTTTTAAAGAAGACAAAGTAATAATAATTTTTTTTTAAAGACTGAGTGTGGCTGGGGGATAGGTGACTCATGCCTGTAATACTATCTTTTTGAGAGGCTGAGGTCTGAGGAGCATGGTTCAAAGACAACCAGGGTGAGAAAGCCCATGAGATTTTCCCCCCCCTGGTCCTGGGGCTTGAACTCTTGGCGTGGGCACTGTTCTTGAGCTTCTTGGGCTCAGGGCTAGCATTCAATCACTTGAGCCACAGTGCCACTTCTGGCTTTTTTGTGTGAGTCATTTATTGGAGATTAGAGTCTTATAGACTTTCTTGCCTGGGCTGGCTTTGAATTGGGATCCTCAGATCTCAACCTCCTGAGTAACTAGGATTACAGGCCTGAGCCACCGTTGGTTTCCATGAGATTCTTATCTTCAATTAATTACCAAAAGGCCAGGAGGTGTGGCTCAAGTGGTAGAGTATCATCATGGATTGAAAAGCAAGTGAGAGCCCAAAGCCCTGAGTTCAAGCCCTGGGGGGGGGGGGAGAAGGGAGAGAGAAAGAGAGGAAGGGGGGAGAAAGAAAGAAAGAAAGAAAGGAAGGAAGGAAGGAAGGAGAAGAAGAAGAAGAAGAAGAAGAAGAAGAAGAAGAAGAAGAAGAAGAAGAAGAAGAAGAAGAAGAAGAAGAAGAAGAAGAAAAGAGAGGAGGAGGGAGGGAGGGAAAGAGAAAGTAGGGAAGGAGAGAGGGAGGAAAAAGGGAGGGGAGGGAGAAGGTGGGAGATGGAATGGTAATCAGAAGGAGAGGAGAAGGGGACAGGAGGGAAGAGATGAGGTGAGGTGTCTGTGAGTGTGTGTGGCTGTGTGTGTGGCTGTGTGTGTGTTTGTGTGTGTGTGTGAGACAGAGAGAGAGAGAAAGGAATCAAGAGAGGAAGAGAAGAGAGGGAGAGGAGAGGAGCTACTTCATGTTCATTTGTATTAGTAACATAGGTCCTATGATTTTAATTTTTCTCCTCACAATTGTGCTTTCAACTTCTCCTTTTATTAGAACTTTTCTCTGGGAGTGATTTAACCTCTCTGACAGGGCAATGCTGTGAGTCAGGTCAGCCACAAGTGTCCCTCCACCCTCCCCCCCCCCAGGGGGAGGATAACCACCAGCTTCATCTAAACTCCTCCCATTCTGTTCTAGCCACAAGAGCTGAGAGCCTTTAGAACACAGTAGGACACTGTTCAAAAAGAAATGGACCTAATGCCTGTCTTCTGTACCTGTAACCTCTCCTGACATCACCTTTACAATAATTTTTTTAAATTAAATCACAGTCTGCCTGACACAGGTAAATATATACTCTCTCCTCTCCATCTCCAGAGATATAATGCTTTTTATGTCTTAAATTGATGGCATTGGGCTTTTTGTCTCACCAATCAGAATGAAGATAATATTTTATAGTTATACAGCAACCTCATCTTTTTAAGTTTCATTCCTTTTTTTTTTCTTTTAAGAGTTATTTTAGTGAACGGAAAGAATGTTAGCTGAGGAATCAGCATGAGTCAGAATCTTGGCTTTAATTAGGATCATATTTAATCTGTTATGCTCAGATTCTACACACATGTGTGTGTTCGCACACAAATAGAAAAACATGAACTGCTTAAGATGCAGGGGTGTGTGTGTGTGTGTGTGTGTGTGTGTGTGTGTGTGTGTGCACGTACGCGTGTGTGTGCAATCAGAACATAAAAGATTAAACACTGGGGCCTGAAATCAAGTCCTCTTGCTCTTATTTTGCTTTTTTGCTCAAGATTGACACTTGCACCATACCTTTATTTCCAGCTTTTTGCTGGTTAATTTGAGATAAAAGGCTCGCAGATTTATCCACTCAGGCTGGCTTTGAATCTCAGTCCTCAGATCTCAGCCTCCTGAGTTGCTAGGATTACAGTTCCAGTTCCCAGCTTATCTATTGGTGGAGTTCAGTGAGTGTGGCTGAGGAAGAGGAGGGCGAAGAAGCATACTTTTTTTTTTGGGGGGGGGGTCCCTGAACTGTGGGCCTGGGCACTGTCCCTCAGCTCTTCAGCTCAAGGCTAGCGCTCTACCACTTGAGCCACAGCGCCACTTCGGGCTTTTTTCCTTTTTGCTTATGTGGTGCTGGGGAATTGAACCCAGGGCCTCATGCATACAAGGCAAGCGCTCTACCACTGAGCCACCTTCCCAGCCCAGAAGCATACTTTTTTAAGAAAGATGAACCCCAACATTAAGTGTTGCTGAGAATGAGAAAGGAATAAAGCTGAAAATGCCTGCAATATTTGACACAGGTCACTGGTAGCCTCCTGAGTTTTATCTGCTGTCTAGGCACACTTCTGGCTATCCAGGCCTGGAGATCAGTGCCTTGAACACAGCTTTCCATCCTCCTCAGATGCTTCTCATTTATAAGTCTCTGGTACAAATATACTACATCATGGACACAGTGAATTTAGAAGGTATACTGAAAATTTTAAAGAGATAATTATGGTCTTTTTTAGGGAGGTGACAAAACTATTCTATATCCTAATTGCATTTGTGGTTACAAAAAGTATACTTGTGTTAAAACTTACAGAATAGTGTATCTGACAGGAATCTACTTTAGTATATCTTTATATTAAAATGTAAGAATTAGGGCCGGTAACATGTGGCTCATGACTGTAATCCCGCTAGCTACTCAGGAGGTTAGGACCTGAAGGATTACAATTCAAGGCCAGCCAGAACCAAAAATTCCAGCTCCAAAATACCAGCAGAAAGGGACCAAGGGTGTGACTCAAGTGGCAGAGCACCAAGGCAGCAGGCTTGAGGCCCTTGGTCCAAATCTCTATACCTCACAAAGAAGTTTTTAATCATACTAATAACAAGGTTCTGTTTTCATTGATGTGGTCCTGGGCCTTGAACGTTCATTGCAAAGTGATTCAATGTTGTATTCCTAAATACTATTTGTAATTACAAGATTTTTTGAATTGAATATTGAATAAAAAATACCAAAGTTTCAAATAAAACATTTAGGAAAAATAAAAAATATATGGAAGTAAATCTGTAGACAGGTATGTGTGATTTAAGTTAATACTAAGAGAAATGAAAAAGAAAACAATGACCGGGCGCTGGTGGCTCACGCCTGTAATCCTAGCTACTCAGGAGGCTGAGATCTGAGGATCCCAGTTCAAAGCCAGCCCGGGCAGGAGAGACTGTGAGACTCCTATCTCCAATAAACCACCAGAAAACCGGAAGTGGCGCTGTAGCTCAAGTGGTAGAGCGCTCACCTTGAGCTGAAGAGCTGAGGGACAGCGCCCAGGCCCAGAGTTCAAGCACCACGGCCGACAAAAAAAAAAAAAGAAAACAATGAATTTCATATTGTTTTATGTTTTTCCCAGACAGGAATGGGTCACTTGCATGTAAGAAGTGATGGACTTCGCTTAGAAGGAGAATCTGAATTTTTATTCCCATTGTATGCCAAAGAAATACACTCCAGAGTGGTAAGAAAACAATGAGAGATTTAAATAATGTGTGCTTTATGAAAAACAAACCATGTTTAAGCATTGATGATTAGTATTATTCAGAGGAGATTTTTAGAGAACATACATGTCCAAATATTCCTTAAATAAAGTTTTGTTATTTGAGCTGGATCACAGTGGCTCACACCTATAATCCTAGCTTCTCAGGAGCCTGAAATCTGAATACAAAGTCAGGAGACTCATCTCCAATTAACCAGCACAACACCAGAAGTAGAGGTGTGGCTCAAGTGGTAGAGCACCAGCATTAAATAAGATCTTAAGGCCCAGAGTTCAAGCCTCAATGCTAACAAAATAGAGAGAGACAGATAGACAGACAGACAGACAGACAGATAATAAAAGTAAGTCAAGTTGTTCTTCATTTTTCTTCGTGAAACATTAAAAGGTTTAGCCAAGGATAAAATAAAAACAAAAGCAATCTTTTGTCACATATACTATATTTCCTTATATAATACTGTGAACTTTGGAAATCTACATAAACATTTTGCTAGATTATTGATAAGTGGTATTTACTCCCTCCCCCCCAAAAAGTTTAAAACCCTGAAATTCTAACTTACTGGTTATTTAAAGAATACACTCTTCATTTTCTTTTGGTATGTTAGTAAAGATTTCCGTTTCCAAATGATGGCCTAAATTACAGAGACCATCAAATCCAGCTGGTTCGATATCTCTTGATGACAGGGGCTATGTAGTTGCCTAGGAGAGTCAGAAAGACAACAAAAGACATACTCCTAAGAAACATGAGGTCCTGAAGCACAGTGCACCTGTGAATGAAGATAGCCCAAATCAAAACTCCCTGAAAGCTATTCAGTAGGAAGGAAGGCAGAGATGGAGAAAGGGACAATACTGTCCTTGAGCATTTTTGCTCAAGGCTGGTGCTCTACCACTTGAACCACAAATGTCTGAGTACATTTTATCTAATTTGGGTAGAAGTGCTAATACCAGGTGCAATGAACTTCCACATGCATGTGGGAAATACCATGGTATAACCCCTTTGAACAATAAACACACACACACACACACACACACACACACAATGACAGAAGGTAAAACAGGTCCTCCTCAGAATGTTGGTACTAGTGGAAAGGAGGCGGGTGAATGGAGAGGCTGAGAAGGATAAATATAGTCAAAATACACGCACACACATGCTCCCACATACATACACACACACACACATACAGACACACACACACACACACACATACACACACACGCTGGCACCTAGGGCTTGAATTCATGGCCTGGGCCCTATCCCTGAGGTCTTTTGTTCAAGGCTAGTACTCTACCACTTGAGCCACAGCTCCACTTCTGGCCTTTGGGGGTGATTCATTGGAAGTAATGGTCTCACAGATGGGCTGGCTTTGAACCTTGGTCCTCAAATTTCAACCTCCTGAGTAGCTAGGATTATGTGAGCCACCATGCAAGGCTAGTCAAGATACTTTTATGTACATGTGCAGAAATGGAACAGTGAAAGCATGTTGAGCTTGGTTGAGAAGGAGATGAGGAGGATTAAGGGGAGTGATGGAAGGGGTAATTATGATCAAGGGACATGTCAGAACGAAACCTTCCTGTACTATTAATAGATGCTAATTTTAAAAATGTGGGAAGCAGGGTGCTAGTGGCTCATGCTTGTGATCCTAGCTACTCAAGAAGCTGAGATCAGAGGATCATGGTTCAAAGCCAGCCCTAGCAGGAAAGTCCATGAGACTCTACCTCTAATTAACCACCAAAAAAGCCAGAGGTGGAGCTGTGGCTCAAATGGTAGAGTGCTAGCACTGAGCACAAAAGCTCAAGGACACCACCTAAACCCTATATTCAAGCCCCAGGACTGGCGTGCGCAAGCGCGCGCGCGCGCACACACACACACACACACACAGACACACACACACACAAAGTGGGATAAAAAGCAAATACAATGTCTTGTTAACAAAACAAAACAACTCCCCCAAACTAAAACTGGAATATCCACCAAGTTCAGTTACACTAGCAAGATGGTGCAGTGAGTCTTACAAATTAATACTGGCCACAAAGGGGAGAGCCTGGAGAGGACCACATCTCTTCTATGGTTGTCTTGTTGGTAGTAGGCACCCACATATGTCTTGGAATATATGTAGAGTGAGATGTAGGAGTCTGGTTCTGTGAGCTCTGTTGGCCATGCTCTTAAATTCACTGGGATGGTATGGAAAATAAGCACACACTTTTCTTGAAAAGAAACTCGGGCATGAACTCAGAATTCAAATACTAGAATTTATCCCTATTTCTCCCCTCCCTCACCACCCCCTCCCCCCAGCTCTGTTGGCTGGTCTGACTGGTAGAATGTCCCAATGTTTGAAATTGGGGTGACTAGATCATATGTAACATTCTGGAATTCATAATAACATTTAGTTAAGTTTTATCAACCTTTCACTTCTACTATTCTTTTTTTTCTTTTCTTTTTTCTCTTTTCTTTCCTTCCTTCCTTCCTTCCTTCCTTCCTTTCTTTCTTTCTTTCTTTCATTCTTTCTTTCTTTCTTTCTATCTTCCTTTCTTGGTGCTACTACTGGAGCTGGAACTTGGGGCATGGATTCTGTCCCTGAGCTTTTTTGCCCAAGATTAGCACTCTATTACTTGAGCCACAACACTTGTGGCATTTTGGTTCTTTAGAAATAAGAGTGCCACAGACTTTCTATCAGGGCTGTCCTTGACCCTCAGTCCTCAGATTACCACTTCTTGAGTAGCTAGGATTACAGGCATGAGCTATCAGCACTGGATCCTCTTCACCATGATTTTAACAAGATAGGGAGTGAGATTATGTGGAATTTGTCTGTGTCTTGCTTTTTTGAAATGGAGGGAAGCTTTTGCATTGTGAAAACAAGTAACATGGTATTTCTTAAAATATGTCTTAATACAATGTCTCAATCATAATTACTTTGATTAGGTGAGAACAAGGAAAGGGGTAGCATTGTCCAAAAAGAAATGTAATCTTTATCTGACTTATGTAACTGTAACTCCTCAGAACATCACCTTTATTTTAATTATTATTTAATTCTAAAGTAACATTTTTCATTACTTTGATTATAACAACAAGAGCATTTGAATTCCTTGGAAAAGGAAAAATCATTAGAATTTGGCTACCTTCATTTACTAATTGTGTGAATATTTTCATAGGACTCATCTTTGCTTCTACAGTCAACTCAGAACGTCACAGTCAATGCACGCAACTCAGAAGGGGAGGTCACAGGCAGGTTAAAAGTGGGTAAGTCTAATTTACTTACAGCATTTGCAGGCACCAAATTCATGAATATTACTGCATATATAACTTTTTTCTCTCAAGAAATTGAATGCCTCTTTATGTGTGTGAATTGTTCAATCATCATGTTATATTGCCCACAGAGGATTGGTAGCCACATGGAGGGGGGTACAAGAAATGTTGCCATCAAACATTGGTTCCCCAAGACACAGAGTGCAGATTCTGCTCAGCAGACTCTGGGGCCCCGCAGATGAAGAGGTGCACTGCAATGATGAATCCTTTATTTCACCCACAGGGTGAGAAATGAGCCTAACTACAGAGATAGTTACATGGAAGATGTCTTCCTCACCATCTACTTTTATAGGTTCAGATTGGCCTGGGACCATCTGAAGGGGATTATGGGAAAATACAGGAAAGGGCACATTCTGAGAGGTACATAACAAGAAGTCAGGATACAGGATACCGAGAATAACTAAGATAAGTACAAGGGGCATTTCTGGTGTCCTTTGACAGGATTACTGCAAACAGCTAGACACTCCTAATCCTGTGTCTTCACTTCAACATAGGATGAACAACCTTACAACCAGGGTTTTCCATGATATCACTGACACTCGACCCACACTAGTCAAATCTCCTGCAGTCAGTCACAGGCCCCAGGTTCTAGTGTTCTCACAAAAGAGGATCATTTAGTTAGTGCAAGAAACAGAACACACAGGTGCATATGCACGCATGCACACACCCTTTATAGTGACCAAAGTGAAAGAACTGAAGTTGCTGGCCTCAGGAGGAGAGAGCAAGCAGCTAAGAGTCAGACATATTCACTCTTTTCTCCCTCTCTCCTCCCTGGCTCCCCTTTCCTCTCATCTCTTCTCTCCTGCTCTTTCCCCTCCCTCTCCTTTTTCTCATACGCCCCACCCTTCTTATTTCCAGTGTTGCTTGGCTCATCATTTCCTCCTGGGTATTATAACTGCATTCCTTTCGATCTCTATACAGCCTATGGGGGTCCCCTGGCTCTCTTCAGCTTATCTGTAATTCCTAACCTCTACTTGTCAATTATGCAGATTCTATGTTCTCCACAAAACCTCTACTTAGCCCATCTTGGTTCAACCAACTGCCCTTGGGTCAACTGTGATTTCCAGCCAATTAGCTAAGGGCCAAAGGATGAAAACCTTACAAGAGTTAAGTCTCACAGAAGCTTGCAGAGAGAGAAAGGACTCTTGAGAAAGCGTATGCACTCCGCCCTCTGTATCTGTGGCTTCCTCATCCTGAGTTTCAACCAATCACAAATAAATATATGGGAGAAACAACTGGTGGCTTACTCCTGTAATCCTTGCTATTCATGAGGCTGAGATGTGAGGATCACTGTTCAATGCCAACCAGGGCAGGAAAGGTTGTGTGACTCATCTCCAATTCTAACTTCCATCAACAAAAATAGCCAGTTCGCATAAAACAGCTGGAAAACTCTTCACTCTCTTAAGCAGATGGTGAAAGCTGTTGTCTAGAGGGACTCGCTTGTGGTAATAGCAGGGCTGGAGAGGCTGGCCCCTTAAGAGGAATCCACAGCTGCACATAAAAGCTAGGGGGTGAAAAACTAAACATGATGTTCTGCTCCCCCCAAGGCATAGTGGCATAGTGTCTGGTACAGAGTGGCACCCTCTGTTATATGCAGAATACATTAATGAGTTGGAACACAATGGGGGTGCATTTCTTAGGGGTAGGGGAAGGGCAAAAACCCAAGAATGACCTTCCAGTCATGTGTCTTTTTCCCCCCCATGAGCAGGAGAAGGAGTCATCTTCTGAGAATGGTAGCAAAGGGGAGAGTCATGGTGGGATGTCATCTTCCCAGGGAACATGGACCACCCTGGCCAGTCATTTGTAGGAAGGTCTTTCACAAATCTCTCATTTTGTGGTTCACACATCCTCAGATGGATAATACCAAAAGAAGTAAGCCAAGTGCTGGTGGTCGATGCATATAATCCTAGCTTCTCAGGAGGTTGAGATCTGAGGCTCACAGTTCAAAGCCAGCATGGGCAGGAAAGTCCCTGAGTCTTATCTACAATGAGCCACCCATAAAAGCCAGAAGTAGTTTTGGCTGAAGTGGTAGAGTGTTAGCCTTGAGAAAGTAAGCTCAGGGACAGTGCCTAGGCCCTGAGTTCAAGCTCCAGGACCAGCAGGAAGAAAGGGGTGATGGGAGAGAGAGAATAAAGGAGAGGGGAAGAAGAAGAAAGAGAGGGAAAGAGGAAGGGGAGAGGAAGAAGGACAGGGAGAAAGGAAAGCAGGAAAGGAGGGAGGGAGGGAAGGAGGAGGGAAGGAAGGAAGGAAGGAAGGAAGGAAGGAAGGAAGGAAGGAAGGAAGGAAGGAAGGAA